ATAAAAAGAATTAGGAGAATAAAAGTAAAAAATTCTACTAACAAAAACTACTAGTATGGGTAGGAAATGTAATTAGTTTATGGGTAGAAAAATAAATGGGTAGACAAGGGTAAATAGTTTTGTTTTTGTGGGTAACTGTGTCAAAACCCCTAGTTTTTTATACAAGTAATAATATATAAACCTTATATATTTTCAACTAAATATTAGGTTTTGACTACGGTTGCCTTGAAAGCTTGTCGTAACATGGCTTGGTTGCCAATCCCACCGGAACCCCCAGATAAGCACAACCAAATGGATGTAGAATTACCAACCCACTCCTATAAGGAAATGCTCTTGGACAAACCGGAGAGCAACCAAACTGATTACTATGAGGTCGACTCTCATCCAAATCCAGATCTCGACAAAGGGAAGCACATTGAAGGTTTAATTCCCCTTTCACAAGATGACAAAAAGCGCCTTTACCTTCTATGGCGCTATTCAGTAATCATCAAGGTCTTTAAGAGAAAGATGCCCCGCCATGTCCTTCGTTCTAAACTAATTGAGCTATGAAAACCATCCGAACAGTTAATCTTGATTGACCTAGAGTGGGATTTCTACATAGTCAAATTTAGATTAGAAAAAAGTATGGTTAAGGCTCTCCACCTTGGCCCCTGGTTCATCTCTGGAAATTTCTTATCCCTGCGGAAATGGGAACCTAAATTTGTTCCTCAAGAAGCCACCCTTACTTCTACTGCCATATGGATCCGGCTCCCTCAATTGCCAACAGAATTCTACTATCAAGACATCCTAGAAAAAGTTGGAAGGAAACTGGGAAAACTTCTCAAAATAGACCAATGTACATCCTCTACTCTCAGGGGAAGATATGCTCGTATTAGTATCCAAGTACCACTAGAAACCCCAGTGGAAACATCGGTTATAATAGGAGACCATAAGCAGGCCATGATCCACGAAGGAGAAGGGACTTTTTGCACCATTTGTGGCAGAATCGGGTACACTACACAAGGTTGCAATTACCGGGCAGCCACACCCACAACAACCCATGAGCCACAGGAAGCGCAGAGGAAAGCAGTCCAAACGGAGGAAAGCGAGTGGAAAACTGTTACCTTCCCAAGAAGACGAAAGCAAGGATTAGCGAAATCAACAAATAAAAATGGTGTCGGAATTAATAAACCACAACATGCTCCACAGACGGACAAGATACAGGTAAATTTGTTTGATGCTAACTCAGGTAAATTCCTTCAAACTCAAACTCCGCATTACAATTCAAAAAAAGTCAACCCCGCCCAAAATCCCCTAAAAAGGCCCAATGGCCCAATAAATAACTTAAGCCCCACCAACTCGCAAGGGCTGATCCAACAAAGTCAGAAACCCAGTACTCGGGCCCAACCCTGTACAAGCGCCAAAAGGAAAGCGGGGCCAGTTCCTGACGACCCTACTGACCCCAATCATGAACCCATCGTTCAAGGCGCCTTTAGCCCAACTTCCGAGACTCCCCATATCAATGATGGTGAAATACCCAATGGGGCCGGTCCCTTTTCCCCAAATGGGTACAACAACAAAACCACAACTGTCAGCCCAATTCCCCATCCTAATACACTCACCTACGCTTCCCTACCAGCCCTCCTGAAACGACCTCTAATGGAGAAATATCAACAGTCGTCACCTACAATCAAGTGCCCTATCTGGTACCCCCCCCCCC